ATATTATTCTAAAGATAGATACATCTAACTACGTCTCTATAGAAGTACTATTCTAGTATAAAGATAATAGAATACTATAATCTATAGTATTCTTCTCTAAGAAGTACTTTATAATAGAGTATAACTATAAAATCTATAATAAAAAACTACTTATAATTATACGCTACTTTAAGAAATAGAGACCTAAGCTAAAGAAAACTCTATTACTAATTAAGGTTATTATAAACTATTATAACTTTAAATACTTTACTACTATAAAGCTACTAAACTAATAATAGATTTGCTAGTCTAAATTTTTATTTTATTTTAACTTTTAGATTATATACTACTCTAAAAAGCTAGGCGTAAAGCCTAATGCGCTAACTAGAAGGTTAGAGAATCTACCTAAGAAGAGAGATAAATATCTATAGTACTAGAGCTAAGTTATACTAAAGAAGAAAAACTTTAACTAGTCTCTAACTCTACTAAATATGCTTACTATAATACTTATTTTAGCTACTACTTACTTTAGAAATATACTACTAATACTACTAGCGTCTCTAAAATCTAAAAAGAGAGTCTACTTTACTATTAACTACTTTATCTACTTATTCTCTATTACGCGCGCTAGAGCTATAGAAAGCCTAGAGCTAGCAGCGCTAGAACTAGCCTATCTAATACTACTACCTAATAGAACTATACTCTTACTACTACTAACTATAAAAGACTTAGTAATAAAAAAATACTAGAATAATAAGAAACTAAATTTTATTCTAGAAGCTCTCTATACTAGTTAAAGCTATTATAAGAAAATTATACTTACTAAGTATGTAGAGTGTAAAAGCTATCTATATTACTAAGATTATTTATATATATCTAATAACTTTAAGCTATATACTAAGCTACTACGTATATACTATAAGAGCTTTATAGCTAGCTATATAGACTAATTCTAGACCTATAAAGTACTATTCTAGAAGTACTACTAGTCTAGAATACTAAACTATATTAAATAATAGACTTAAAACTACTATACTTATAAATAAGTAACTACTTTATAAGAAGTAAAGTAAGAGGTTTTAAGACTATTACTAATACCTAACTAAGCTTAGTAAGACTTATTTATAGACTTTATTACGTACCTACCTAAAAGTAGTAAATTTAACGCTATCTTAGTTATAGTAGATAGACTTACTAAGATAAAGCACTTTATTACCTATAATAGTACCTATAATATAGAGAAAGTAGTGTAACTATTTATAAAGTATATCTAGAAACTATATAGCTTACTTAAAATAATTATATTAGACTAAGAGCTATAATTTATATCTAAATTCTAGAGCTACTTAACCTAATATCTAGAGATATAGTCTCTCTTATTAACTATATACTATCTAGAGACTAATAAGTAAATAAAGAGAGTAAACTTCTTTTTAGAATAATACTTATAAAGTTAAGTCTTATACTTATAAGATAACTAGATAAGATAGCTACTACTAGCTAAATTTATAGTAAATAATACTAATAATAAGAGTACTTATACTACGCTATTTTTTATAAACTATAGCTTTTACCTCTACTTTAGATTTAAACTAATAGAACTTAGCTAATAACTTACTACTTAAGACGCTAAAAACTTAGCTCTAAAGATAAAGACTATTTATAAATACTTATAATTAGAGATCTATATTATATAAGTCTAGTATAAGAAGTATACTAATAGAAAATATACGCCTACTTACTAGTTTTTTAAGAATAATATAGTCTAGTTAAATATCTAGAATATTAAGACTACTTATCTATAGAAGAAGCTTAACTAGAAATTTTTAAGTCTTTTTAAAATTACTAAAGTTATTAGTCTATATATATACTAACTAAAGCTACTTACCTTTATAAAAATCTACTCTATATTCTACGTTAGCTTTTTCTACTTAGCTACTATAGACTTATTACTAAAATAGTACTAAGAGCTACTCTCTTTTATTTAAGTTAAAAGAGTTAAAAAGTAGAAAGTTAAAAATATTCTAGACTTCTACTAAAACTACTATAGCTATAGAGGCTGCTTTTAGCTAAAGTATACTATAAAATAAGCTAGCTATAATAAGCTTACTAAGGTACTAGCTAACTATATTAAGAACGCCTAGAAGGTTATAAAGAACTTCTACTACTACTACTTATATAAGCCTAGTTAACTATATTATTAGAGCTCTACCTAAAAAGAGAAGTACTATTATAGTAGTAGCTAGTAAAAAGCGCTAAGAGCTATACTATACTCTAATTAGCTATATAGATTTTAAGTAGCTAGCTAGCTTACTTAAAATCTATAATACTAAAATTTTTATATAGACGCGTTTTATTAGAAGCTCTTTAAGCTATATTTTTATCTTAGCTTAACTCTATACTATTAGTAATACGTAGTAAATATACTAATTACGTGCACTTATTTTTTCTTACCTGCTGCCTCTATAATATTTATATTATATTTTTTAATAATAATATTTTATACTTTTTAAGTACTTTATAAATATATTATAGTATAATAAGATATTAGGTAGAGGTAGAAGGTATTTAACCTATAATTAGTAAGATAGAAGAGTAAAGCAAGTAGTAAAAGGCAATTAGCGTAGTATTCTTATCTAAGAAAGCTACTCTCTACCTTAAAGAGCTGTTAGAGTACTTATTCTTCTTCTAATTATATAATCTAATTAGGTAACTAATTACTACACTATAATATAATACTTTTAAAAGCTACTTAAAAAAAAAAAGAAGTTAAAAAAAGCTATATAGGTATAATAGAGATAAGATAGAAGTAAAGAAACTATACGCTACTTTTATACATAAAATACTATTATTTTATATAATTTTAATTAAAAAAGCTTTTAATTACTTTATTATATAGTATAGAGGACCTCTATCTTTAGTATTATACGCTAGACAGTTACTAAACAGGCCCTAAGGCTAGTTCGTGCCATGTCTTACGGCGCAGGCAGTGCTCAGCCTCGCCGCCCGCATCAAAGCGAATCCTTCGATCGTCACTGCATGCACTTGGATCTACACCGCATCCACGACAGCATATCGTCGCTGAACTGAAGTCTTCGTCCAGCCACACGTTATCTTTTTACGGTCGTCAACGCATCTTGCTACATTCATCATCATGGACAGTGCAGGAGTTGGAGCCAACGTTTACAGCAAAGCAGAGTGTTGATCACCCCTTCTGACCGGAATCCAGGGTTGTACGCTGACTTCCAACAGTAGAAAAGCAAGTGAAACTGGAGGAACAGCGCAAAGCCGAAAAGAAAAAGGATGATATCAAGCATGAGGAAGAGTTGAAAGAGGGTCAGGATAGAAGCAAGAAGGGAAGAGTCCATCGGTGGATAAACTATGCGATGGCAAGTCTCAACGGCTGAGGTCGAACGGCACAACATCGTGTACCTTGCATTACTGTACACCTCCTGTCTCTACCTCGATACTCCATGTATCCCCTTCTTTAAGACTGGCTGCCAGAGCCAAGACTCAACGAAAAAGATTGATGTCTTCAGTGACTGCGGATCGACACGCATCCGTGCAGTATAAAGACAAAAGATGGTATCGGCTTTTGCCTACCACATGAGCTAAAACGCTCGCAGCCAGCTCTCGCATACCGCATATTCCTCGCCGTGCGATGAAGCATGTTCATCTTTACCGCAAGTAAGACTTGTGGCCCACGGCTTCCTTCGTGCGTCGAACCTTTCGATTCGCTTTGCCCACAGTTCACGCTGCGGCACACGGTATGTTCTTCGACATGCGTCGGATCTTGCGATCCGCTTTGCCCACAGTTGCCTGTAGCACATGTTGCAGACATGCGTCGAACCTCACGGCTCGCTTTGCCTGCAGTCTTTTGCAGCACATGTCTGGTTTTACGGTATGCGTCGAATCTCACGATTCGCTTTGCCTACAGTTGCCTGTAGCACATACCATCGACATGCGTCGGACCTTTCGGCCCGCATTACCCACATTTGCATGCGGCACATGCCTCGTACAGAGCTATATGCGTCGAACTTCTCAGTTCGCATTGCCCGCAGTTGCCTGCAGCACATATAGCTCTGTTGAACGTGCGTCGATCTTTCGATCGCTTTGCCCACAGTCAGTAGTAGCACACGTTTTTGTTTTGACATGCGTCGACCTTTCGATCGCTTTGCCCGCAGTTGTCTGCAGCACATGTCTTTGCTTCGAGCTACATGCGTCGAACTTCTCAGTTCGCATTGCCTGCAAGTCGCAGCACATGTAGCTCTAGCTAACGTGCGTCGACCTCTTGGTCGCTTTGCCCGCAGTTACCCGCAGTTACCCGCAGCACACGTTCTTCTCCAACGTGCGTCGACCTTTCGATCGCATTGCCCACATTCGTTTGCGGCACACGTATGGAGGAGTGAAATCCAACGGAACCTCAGTAGCGACAATGCCGACTTACTGGACGGAGGGGGCGCATCTAGCCGCGCATAGATGGGAGGCAGGAGGTCTGAAAAGAACGAGATTCCTCCTACGCGGTTGAACGCGAGTGGTAGAGGAACTCCAATAGTTGTGGTGAGGAGGAGAAAGGGAAGTGCGGGGATTTATATATGCGGAGAGGAGAGGCTAGTGCGATGAGTTCACGTGCTGACCCACAGTGCTCTAGGCAACAACGTTTGCTACGTCTGAATGAAACGGGCGGAGTGAATCAAGCTTTTCCATATGCACAATCGCTAGATAGCACTCACCACTCGTCACGCGCAACTCGCTCTCACAGTCGGAGTGAAAAATGGGTGCAGCGACCTCCCGCTGAAACCACGTTCCATATTCAGACTTCTACATGATGGCAGACTTTCACGTACTTCGGCGGGTGGCAAGGCACTCAGGGAACCGCGACAACCTAGATATATATATACTCCAGCTTCTCCGCTCAGATTCATCACACCCTGTCACCCAAAAAGATCTCCTCAAGCACCGGCTCCTGTTACGACGCAGTACCTCTCAGATTTCCCTCAACCAGGCAGTGAACCACAATCATGTCGGTCGACCACGACCAAATCCTCATTGAAAGCCTACGCGACACGATCTCTCGACTTGAGCAAGTCAACACCTCCAAAGATCTTCAACTCGCCGCGAAAGACGCGCAACTCTTGACGATCCAAGAGGCTGGTCAGCGAAAGCTCGAACATATCGCCCACTTGGAGAGGGAGCGCCTTTGGACTGGCATTGCAGACTCAGACCCGCAATACAACTACAGGAAGCTTTACAAGCCGGCTCGCTGCACTCTTCTCCAGCAGAATCGTCGGAACCTCATCGAGACCAAGCTAGCTGTCACCATGGCTGAACTAAACACAGCGAAAGCCGAGAGTCAGCTTTCCCAAGCCAAGCAAGTCAACTGTGAGCGAGAAGTCGAAGACCTGGTGATCTGGAAGGGCAAGATCAGTAAGAATGTCGAAGATCTCGAACACAAACATCATGAGCTTGTTGATACAGTCGACGAACTGCAGGCTACGGTACAGGGTCTCAAAAAGACAGTGGGAAAGCTCAAGAAGAAGGAATCAAAACTGACAGTGAACATCGAAAAGATGAACTACAACAATCAGAACAACATGTATCACGTCAGCGCGCCTTCATCCCAAGCATCAGTAGATGGAAAGCCAAAACGTCCTACAATCTCAACGACAGCGAACTCTACCCGAAAGCGCCCAGCCGAAGATAAAGATTTCGCACCGCCAGCTAAACGTCCGGATATCAAGGCGAAGAAGCCACAGACTCGGTAAGTCCAATGTCTGCCTCAATGTCTCATGTAGCAATGCCTAACATACTATAGTCCTACTCATGACCAAAGCAATCAAACCGCCGTTATGATGCCAGTCTGCAGCACTACTTGTTTCTACGGCCGCCAATGCGCGAACGCAGCCTGCGCATACGTGCACAAGGAGCAGATTGCTGCGTTTGGGCTTCTCAAAATTGCCTCGCTGCCAAAGAAGCCGCCTGGAGGTGGAGCGAGGAAGGATGTGCACGTAAATTTCAAGAATAGCGGGAAGAAGAAGAAGTGAGAGATTGATGGCCCTGCTAACGCGTGCGGATACGAAATAGCGTTGGATGATCCGTGCGATGTCATACTGGAGAATCTATCTTCGAGTTCGCTACTGTCCCTTCGTCGAATTCAATGGATACTTGGGCACGTTTTTATAACAAAGTTACAAAAGCAATGTTAGACTTTGATCGGAGTGCTTCATTTTATCGTCATCAACCTTAATTCTCCCCACCGAACGACTGTACCAAAGCGAGAACACGCACCACACCGAAAAAAGAGGCCGGGTACCTCTCCCCTCCCTAACTCTCTTCGCAAAGAGGTTGGAGAAAACAATAACACTCCCAGCCTCCCGGCGCTCTAGTACAAAACCTAGCAATGTCGCCAACTTCTGACTATCGCACCTAGTCCCTTTCTTTGCTCTTCCTTTTCCCGGCAGCCCGGCTCAGAAAATTGTGACCTGGCTAATGCAGCGCGTTTTTAAGTACTTGGAGTTGTACCACGTTCCGCATCCGACGTGTTGCGCTAGGGTCCGAGGCTGTACCAAGGAAAAGCAACGGGTAGCGGGCGGAACATCGGATTTGCATCACAACCTCGGTATAGTTGCTCCGGAGATGGAAAATGAGGTGGTGGGTTGCTGATCTGCGATGGGGAGGCTGGGGATGCGATAAGGGACTTCGGGTACCTGACGCGTTCCTCTCCCTAGGAATGCAGGGCCGTGGAAATGACGACCTGGAGTTGCATTAGTTGGCTCACACATGTCATTGATTTCAAGGTGGCGATGGGGAATTTGATAGAACGTTTTGGTCTTTTCAGAATTATCATTATTACCATAGGTAAGGTTTCGCGGATAAGCAGCGCATATCTATGATGCGAAAACGAAACGCCGTCTTGCCCAGGCATACACAACGGAGTGTCATGTGAAAGTAAATGAAGAATAAGAAAGGATACAATGAATAGAAAACGCGTCGTAGCAGTCAACGGAAAACTATCTCCGTAGCCCAGAGTCTCCAGGGAATAGGATGCCGTTGGGGTGGAACTCCCTGTGATATGTTTGCCAGTTCTTGCACGTTCTCTTCATCTCAGCGAAACCATCCTTTGCCTTGATCTCAGACGAGCGCTCAAGGAACTGTACACCAAGACCGGCGGCCACATGGAAGGGGATGTGGCAGTGCATCAGCCACGCGCCGGGATTATCGGACTCGAAGGCGAGAACAAGGTAGCCTCTGGCGGGGAGATTGGCTGTGTCACGGCGGATAGGGTTGTTGGTCTTGAGGCGAGAGATGTCGCCATTCCAGACTGCGTTTTCTTGTTGATCCAGAACGTAGAAGTCGTGACCGTGGAGATGGATAGGATGAGGTAGTGGTGGCGCGGTATTGTTGGTAGTATCCTGCTGGATGACCCAGTACTGCCACTACAAAATTCGTTAGTCGCGACAACGGCGCGTTAGGCGGAGGAGACTTACCTTGTGCTTTTCATCGACCTCAAACACGTGTCGGTTGTTACCGTACGTGACGTTGCCGTCTAGCACGTGCTGTAGGGTGGGTCGATCGAGGTCAATTGCCATAGGATTGCCGTTGACAAGCCACTGCACCAGCCCTTGGTTTTGCGTCACATCGCTAGTGTAGTTGTCGTTGAAGCCGAAAGTCAACGATTCGGGCATCTCCTGGGGAACGATCGTCTTGGCGTATGGAACGATATTGGCCTCGTCGTAGCAGCCCACCGGTAGAACATTGCCAGTTGAGTTGGGCTGCCCAGCGGGAGCGCCAGCATATCGGAAAATGCTCCTGATGTTTGCCGCATTCGCGTTGGGGCCATCACATCGACCACCAGTACCTACTCGCCACCAGTAATTGCCAATAGGCTCGGTTGCGTTGATAATGACCTCATAACGTTGACCTGGTGACCATGTCAGTGAAACGTTCCCCAACAATAGTTATCGTGGGCGCATTTTCGTGGGTGGAGGCGTGTTGCACAAACAGACGTTGTGGGCATCGCCACGAGCGGACAAATATGAGATGATTCGGGTCAACTTACCGACCGAGAGAACGAGGTTGTCAGTCTCGAATGGTTCAATAGGTGTGAAATCAGCAGAAATAACCTTGAACTTATGCCCATCGAGACCGACATGGAGGTAGTTGTTGATGCCGGTGTTGACTAGGCGCAGCAAATGCGCCTTTCCTGGGGTAAGGATTGTCTCTGCGTAACTTCCTCCGGCAGCTGATGTCATCGTACCGTTGATGAGAACATTGTCCGCAACTGGAGGACCGTTGGCGTGGACAGCTGCAGCGTTCACTGTGAAAGTGGTCGCGTGGAACCAATCTGTCATTGGAAGCGCACCAAGGTCAATGTCGTAGTTCGCTGTTGCTGGTCCCCGGATGACCAAGGGGCCCACGAGGCCATCGCCGTACTGTACAGAGTAATGCGAATGATACCACTATAACAGTCAGCCAAGTTCCACCCATGTGATGCGCAACGGAAATTAACTTACAGTTGTGCCGTACTGCGTGGCCTTGAACTTGTAGACCTTGGAGTCACCAGGCGCGATTGGACATTCGGTGATACCGTTCACTCCGTCTTGCTCGTTTGAACCAAGTTGCCTAAGACCATGCCAGTGCAGCCCAGTACCGTTGCTTTGGAGGTTGTTAGTTACGGTGATCTCAAGATCATCGCCCCAGTCCGCTAAGATAGTCTGTAATATATTAGCAAGGAAACGAGATGACTCAAAGTGTCCCACTTACAGGTCCTGGCGTTTGACCATTGATCAGTAGAATTGGCCTCTCGAACCCATCCGGGGCTCCAGTGGCGTTCGAGATGGTCAAATGATACTTGACAGTCTTTCCAGTGTTTGGCCAATGAAGGTCCATATCTGTGTCGATGCTGAAGTCGCCATTCCAGCACCCTCTCGACTGTGGGCCATGGTTACAATTCGTCTTGTAGCCGTCTCGTCTTTCGCGCCCGCTCCAAAGACCGCTCTTCTTCCATGGGACTTCAGGTAGCCTGGGTGTGAGGTGCTCGACAGATGGCACAGCGAACGAAGTCACTGACGGAAGGACAAGCCCCAGGGCGGTGGCCAATCTGAAGATTGAGACAGCCATTGTGGATTATGGAAGGAGGAATGAAAGAACGTAGATGTAAACGACAGCTGCCAGACCCTTTACGCACGGGACCAACGAGTGCAGATAGGCGCAGATCAAGCTGTAAACGAAAAGCGAAGGCTGGCTGGTTTGATTAACAAAGGGTGGTACGATAGATTATATCCCCAGCATGGCAACATTGCCCTGCCTCTCTAGTGGACCGATTGATCGCCCGAGAGACTACCAATGCCAGCAGTGGAGAGTTCCCACCACTAGTCGATGGTATGATCACTCCATGTAGAGACTGTTGCCGCAAGAAGCGTCCAAGATCGCCATGAGCGCGGTCTACGGCCCATGAACGGTAAGGGCGTGGGCTTAGTATGAGGGCCTGCCCAGAGCTGTGAGCGTAAGACACGGCTACATTTCAGCCCTAAGTAGATGAACGGAGAATTTTAAGTGGTCGCTTTCGTCTCAAATGTCGGCATAGCTCGTGTTACACGACTGAATGCAGCTAGACCTACCGAGCCTCGGCGGCAGATGGACTAAAGAGAGCGGCCTGGATACTTGGTAGAGCTGCAGCAAGTGCTGAGTCGTACATGGCAGCGGCAGCCTCAGCAGGCTGTGGTGCAGCAGCAAGCGGTGATGTGCCTTGGGTCGCGCAGAAAGTGGGGCATGCGAGGCGTCGGTTGACATGTAGATACAGGGAGTGGATGCCGCTATGGGTAGTGTGCAGAACAATCGCCCGAGCTAACCGTGGAGTTCAGAGCCGTCCCCGGTGCTTGTAAAGCTTGATGGTCGTGAAGCGAGAGGAAGCAGGATCCCAGAAGCGCAAGCGAGCCAACATGTCGAGACGATCTGAGCTAATTGCCGCTAACGCTAAGCCGTGCACAGACTAGTCTGCCATGCTGTGTCGGAGTTCGTGAGGGGGGCCGGACCTCATGGACCGACCACAACATCACCACATCGCAAATCTGACCACTGAGAATACGTTTTCCTGGAGGGATGTGTACTTTGCGCTTAGTTAGGCGCCCCAAATCGGCTGTAATCGCCTCCTTCAAAACGTGCCGTACCGTTTTCATGACGTTCAGGACCGCAATCAGACTATTGACATGCACCACAGCTGCACCGGCAGTCTTGGATAGCCACAGGCGCCATAATGTCGGCGATGTCTTCATGTCTCGAATGATATCGCGATGTCTCAGTGTTGCCACTCTGAATGCACGGCTGAAGCGGATGCATCCTTCCATATGTGGTCCGAGGGAAAGCAACATCGCCGGATGAAGACCATACGCCCTGCAGTCTTCAAGATCGAGTGCATCTGCATGGGAAAACATTACCATTGCTGAGCAGTGGTAAAGCGAGTATTCTCCATGGGTGCGAAGATACCACAGAGTCGTTCCCACGTCATCCTTGCCAGCCCTGTGCATCGTCCATTATCTGCATGTTGCCGGTACCAACGCGAAGGTTTTGACAGAAGCGAACGGCTTACGGCCCAGTGTCAGATTTGGTGCAGTACCTTCCGCGTCGGTGGTTTGATCACTGACAGCAAAGAACGCCACAATATTGAAGGAATGATGTGCGTCTGCTTACCTGCATAGTGCAGCGAAGCTGGCGTTCAGCTCGCAATCTTTCGTGGCATTTCCTCAGGTGAGAAGTCAGCCTTACAGCAATGCTCACCGAGTGTCGGTCAGAGACGAGCTTGGCTCAAACAAATTTCCTGTTTGCCGACTACGTCTGTTCGCCAGTAGTGTTATTACGTTATGGGTAGCAGGCGACGACTACATGTGCTTTGAGGCTCAACTAGAACCTTGGTATACATCGCCTGCGAACCGACTTCTGATCATCTTCAAGGCATGCGCAATGTTTTGAGAGCTATATTTGCACCGAAGAACAAATCTGGCGTCGACCTTTCGCCTCTAACTGGGACGCCCGGACTACCGAACCCCCACTTGTGGCTGCATGCCGTAAACCGTGGTAAAACCCGGTCACGGATTTCATCCTAGGGTGCCGCGGAGGCCTCGAGAGCAGGCTTCTCCATCAAGCCGGGTAAACAAGGCCCATGTCTGCACAGAGTCGTTTAATCTTGTCGGCTATCTCAATCAAATTGATCCTCGACATGGAATCAATCTTCCGACCTACATGGCTCGCAGAAGCTGTATGACGTCTTTCATTAAATTACCCGGCAATTCGGATCATGCAAGTTAGCGACGACCCTGCCATCATGTCTCCAGGATCGACCATGTGGAATGACCACTGCCCACATGTTGGCGGAGGTACAAAACAACTGGTCCCTGAAGGATACATGCGAATTGCAACATGACCCAGATCTATTTTAATGTCAACGTGGGAATCGTTAGGATAGATGTCTTCTGGGAAGAAAACTTCATGAGAGACAGTATCCCCCGTAGGTCAAGCCCGAATATCGTAACATTACCAGAGTTCAGTTCTACTTGCTCGCTGACCGAGCGCCCGGCTCTGGGATAGCTTCTATCCGTTCCTGCATCATGATCATCCCGCGGAGTCCCTGTGGCGACAAGATACCTAGTCCTTCCACGAAGATTAGCAGCAGGGTACCCAGACAACCGCGCGTCTACTCGGATTACGAATGCATAACGCCTCAACGCCTACATCCGCCACTGTGTAACCTGTGTAGACAGCGAGTCTTCTGCAGGTGAACGTAGTAGCTGGTGATCGAAACGAGATTAACGATGGCGGTCATGTACAACCTCGCGTGCGTGCTAAACACATGGGGTGATCTAACATGTTGACATCCATGCGGCTGGTACTAGCCACGTTGATTTCCGAGCGCTGTGTCACTGCTGTCGCCTCAGAAACGTGCTGTGCATGTTGGTCGGGTAGATGTGAGACACCGACAGAAAGGTACGACTGCGGAGTCGTCGATGCTGTGCAGCTGTCAGGTACGACTTACAACTTCCGAGAACCTTATGCGTGTCTTCGCTAAGGCATGAAATGTTTGACGTATAGGATGAAGCCTGCTTCTGTCGATACCTAGCATTAGATCGCGACAACGGCCGCTGTTCCCTTAGCAACATAGAGCGTCAGTCAAAGCGGCAGGCGCCGCTCATGCATAGCGCGAACGTCTGGCCTCAACAGATGCATGCAAGGTCCATCAGTAAAGAGAGTGTTGTGAAATTACACATGGATGCCTGGAGGACGGGAGGTTGGGGGAGGCTGGGCTACGTCAAGGACGTTTCCCCGCAGCCATGCTGGGGAAATTGCACATGGGATGTATACAAAGATGATATCATTGACGTTTCAGCTAGTCCAAATACAACATATGCGTCAAGAGTTTAGAAAACGAATAACAATGAAAGACATGCGAGCTTGTGTAGTACTAAAGAGTTGACCGGGTGACGTGATTTGGTACGCACGTCTTCAAGCAACGACTATCCGCTTCCTTCCGGTTTCCTTGCACGAACTCGCCTTCTGCTGTCTTTCGTGCCGCAGCCCCGCGATAGATTCATCGTCAGGCAACCTCTCTGACCTTCGAAGATACGTATCTTTTCGACGAGCCTGCCGCTGGGTCCAACGAACCAACTACAGCTGACTTTGTCGACAGTAGAATAAGTGGCCTGGCCATTGCCTTGTCTTCTGAGACCCGCGAGGACAAAGACAGGAAACCCATTTCCCCATGTCCGCACTTTCAGTTCCAGAATGCCAACAAGGTCGTTGCGAGTGAGCAATGAGATCCAATGTTTGCTTCGATATCGCAAGAGCCGCTCTAACGGCTCAGCAGTAATGTCTGGATCGTTGTTGAAAGTAACCTTGATGTCCATTGGATGATTGATGAGAAGTCGCAAGAGTGGAATCAGATCAGTGATTTCAAATTCGTCGTATCTTCCTTGTCCAACACCCAGATGTACATCTGTCACTGGCAGGAACTTATCGTGACGATCGACGTCGACCTTCGTGGTAATGAGGAACGTATCAATGTAGTGGCATGCGTCGTCGATGTTAACGATATGCTGGTATAGCAGTAATGGTCGGAATTCGCATCGGATTTGTGTACACACGTTTGTAAACTGAATAAGTGGCATGTCACCCCTGCTGACTGAATGTGGTGTAGATGCTAGGAGGAAGCCGTAGATCTTATTTCGTAGTTCTAGAAAGGTTCAGCAAACAGCTGACTGCGTCAGTCATTGGTCTAATCTTACCACCAGGTAGCTTAAGAAACGGGAAGATGTTGCTTGAGGGATGAATTGTGTCAGCATCTTGCGCACGTTCGGGGGAATGAGCCTGTTGAGAACTCGTCATAGTGAAAGCTGATGATGCTCATGTCAACAGCGGCCCCGGCCGCTTTATAGCGTTGGTGTTTGTATAGGAGAAGTCTCTGGAAAATACAGGTCATTCGGAGACCTTTTACCCTTCTCTGCTTCCGCAAACAACAATTGCGTTCATGTCCACCAAGCCATGTGCTAGGAATTCGTCTTGCGCGTCGTTCTTCCGATGCGGCAATGTAGCAGAAATACCGCTTCGTCGAGCGAATGACCATAAATTTGTGTGATGTTGGTAGTATTCAGGGCAATTGACGAGTGGTGGATCGATCAAGTCACAGACGTCTGAAGACCTCCTGGTGTCACAAAGAACCTGACGGTTTCGGTGTCTCATCGCTCCGTACGCAGCAATTAGCCCACGCTTGCTGGTTTTTCGCTCATTTGAAAGTGATAGAAGGGGTTGTATGACTTCTGTGATGCCATGATATTCTCCATATGTACACAGCGTCTATTCCTCCGCGCGTTGTTCTTCCAATGACAATGCCTAGAACTCGGAGATCATGTCGCCCCTCCGCTTGCCGCGCATGTCCCACTTGCCCTGTAAATTTTCGTCAGCATCCATACGTCTTGCTTTCCATATACGCAGCGTCTCGAATGCCGCTTCCCCACCGCCCAAATGCGTGCTTGTCCAGACTCACCTCGGTCATGTATCCTGCCGTACCCAGCATAGCGGGCACCGCGACGACGTAGGCGAACGTGAGCCAAGCTGTGCGCTTCGTCCAGCGG